TAATACTAGGATTCTTTAAAAAATTGAGAAAAAATTCTTCCCACTGTACAAACCAGCTGCACACAATATCCATTCAAGGATTATTTTATCATGCTGTAGCAATCACTGGGTGAGATACAGGCTCCTTTTGAATGTTTAATGTGCAGCAGTTCACAGCTGATACAATTGCCTTGGAAGAAGAAATCAGATCCGACAAGGGAGAATGGAATAGGAATTTAAAACTGTAGTTTAGAAAACCTTTCACCTTGGTAGATAGTCACGTTCAGTGTTACCTAAGTGCAGGAATGCTTGTTCTACTATTATTGATGTTGTTTTATCATACTACTTTAAAAATGACTGCTTCCTTATGTAACTCAGCATACTGCTAGAAAACGCTATGGTCTTTTCTCAACAAAATCGAGCTCATTTTACAATAAACAATGATATAACAGCTGTGAGGTATGTATATAAATTCTAGTAGTCTCTGGAGCAGAAGCTTGTGAAAATACCCTTTCTTGACCCTTACTCTCTGTGAGGCTGTTGACTTTCAACCATCACAGAACCAAAGAGATTCTGCAGGGTACCTACAATATGTCGTGTATCAGTGAAGCTGGATTTGTGCCTCCAGGAAGAGAGGATGCTTTGGTTTGGCTGAAATAGTTCAGTTTTGAAATATATTCAGGGGTCCTTGAAAACAACAAATAAAGAAAACTAGAATTGATAAACAGATCCAAGAAGTGATTCTTTAAGACAAAAAGCCAATTAATAAACCACTAACCAATCTATTCCAGAAAAAATAGAAGAATGTTTAAAAAGGAAAAGATGTTAGCAAAAACAAAAAACAAAACAAAACAAAACAAAAAAAAAACAAGATAAGGAAACATTATGGACCACTGTTCATAAATTTGAAAGCTAATAAAATAACTTTCTACAAAAATATAAAGTTGTATTATCAAATAATGAACCTGTTTAATTCCCACCAAAAAAAAAAACAAAAAAAAAAAAAACGCAAAAATGAAACGTCTAGTCTTGAAGGAGGCAATGGTGAGACATTTTAAGCATTTAAAGTACTATTCCCATATAAACTGGTCTGGAACAAAGAAATTGATGAAAAGTAGCCCAATTTATTCTAAGTTTTGGGTATTGATTCCTCCGAAAGGATTCTTTCTTTTTTAATCACACACAGAAAACTGCAGATCTATCTCATTTAAAAAATTTGAGACCTGTGGAATATTTAGAAAATTACATTATAGTAAAAACAGTTTTATTTTTTGTGCTTTTCCTCTCATATCTTTCACATTCGTGTACGAATAAAGTAGGCAGTTTAGCAACCTGCACTTTGACTTGTCAGGATTTTCCCCAAATACGACAAGGCTCCATATTCATGACTTCTGACGATTACATAATGTTCCATTCAGTTACTGTGCCATGATTTCCTTAGTTACGGCCCTGCTGCTATGCATTTAGGTTGTATCCCAGTTCTAATTCTAGATCACGCTGCCCTACATAAGTGCCTGCTTACAGCGTTTTCTGTTGTTTTTTTTTCCCTTGCAGGTAAATCCTCAGGAGTAGGGTTCCAGCGTCACGGTTTCTAATTTATTAATACATCTCCCAATTGCTTTACAAAAGGTTTGTAGCAATTTTTCTCTCCTCCTACGTTTAATAAGTTTAATAATAAAATGTGAAAGAGCTTCTGGAATAGGTGGAAGAGACTAGTTATTTGAGGAGTATTGCCAGGCCCAAGTTCCCTCCCTCGGAGCGCCCAGATCGCTGCGTTCTCTCCCTCCTGAGGGGCAGGAAAGAATATGAAAAAAGAAGCCCGTGAATCCGCCACAGACTCAGGGCCTACCTGCCACCCAAGCCTAAGCTAGGGTGACTGTGGTGGCAGACTTCCTGCCGGGGGGTGGGGGGGCGGCGTCCTGTCGGGAGGAGCAGGGTGTTGGCTGCGTCTGGAGGTCTCCGGGGTCTCCTCACCCGCCCAGACCCGGGCACCCCGCCGGGGCCCGCTCCCTCGGCGCACCCTGTGGGCATCGGGGACAGGCCCAGTCTAGCTCCCAGGGGGCGCCTGCCGCCCCCTGCCCGCTTTTCCTCGCCCTTGCACCCCTCTTTGGCCCTTCTTTGGCCTAGTGAACACGGCGGGGGCGCGGGGGATCGGCCCCCCGGGACCTGCGGCCCTCTGGCCACGCGACTCGCACACGGCGCTCCTCGCTGCAGACGCGCAGGTGGTGGGGCTTAGACACGGTCGGCGCCAGCAGCCCCCCACCCACCCCTCATTCCAGGTTAAAGGGGCTTTCCTCGCTATCCAGAAAAGCAAAAAGCAGGCGGCCGGCATCAACCAACGAGAAACGCGCAGTCTGGGCTGGCCTGGCCGTGAGACGCGCCAGCGGGAAGCCTCGGCGCCTCTTCACCCACAAGGTCTGCCTACAGCCGGACACGGTCAGCGCCCCGAGCGCCTCAGCCCCCAGGGCTGGGCTCTCACGCTCACCTTCCGAGGCCCCCCGCCGCTTTCCAGTTCTCAGGACCCCCGCCTGCACCCACGCGTCCAGCGGGCTTCCTCTCTGAAAAACAAGGCTGTTTACCTGCGTCCGTAGGGAAGAGAAGAGAAGCAGCTCGCAGCGCCGCGGCTGTCAGCGACTGGCGCGGACCGCAGGCGTTGCGCAGGACCCGGAGGAGGTGCCCGGGGCGGGGAGGGGGGCGGCGGCGCTCGCGGGCAGAGGTCCGCGCCGGGGCCAATTACCCGGCGGCCTCGCTCACCCACTCGTGCACCCGGCTGGAGTTTATTTGAAAGGCTTGGCCACCTAGGAGGGCCGGGAATCTGAGTCACCAGAACAAGTTGGGATTCACTTAAGCACCTGCATCAGCTGATACCGCCTCCCAGTGGCATCGCTCCTGATGTTGCTCATTGACTATAAAAATAATCTTGAAAGAGAAATTGGGCCCAGGGCCCCAGCTCCCCGTTACATAATGGAACACTCGAGAAAATGAAAGGTTAGGGGATGAGAAAGCAATTACTGGAACTTTGGTAACCGGAGATTTCTATAGCGGGGAAATAAAAAAGCTTCCCCCCACTTTTTTTTTAATTGATGCCAATATTTATGAATTTTCACATAAACTTCTAAAATTTGAGACCTAGAAAAGACATTGGCCGTCATCTATTTTTCAGTAATGCACCTACTGATCCTCATTACATGTAAAAGATTATTTAGATTATGATATTCATAAATGAGAAAAATGTTAACCTTGGTTAACAACTGCACTTTTTGTATTAACTGAGGAATCTTGTAAGATACAGAGTGGTGTGTCATTGCTCATTATTCCTGTGGAGAAATTAGATAAGGATTTGTTTCATTTAAAAGATGGGCATAAATGAAATAATAGGAAGACAGAATTAGGAGCACCATATCAATTATTACCAAAATCAGGACACTTTTTTCATTCTCATTTTGAGAATGAAAGGGACACGAATATAAATTAAGCTGGGACAATGGGCATAAACCAAGATTGTCTCAGGGAAGATGGGCCATTTGGGCCTATCATTATGGACAGAGAGGGCCTTGTAAGACAAGAGGTGTGAGAATACTGAGGCACCCATTGGAAACAGAATTTTGGATTAAATTCCTGTATCTTAGGACCAGTCAAGTGGGAGAGGAGGGGAAGGGATAGAGGAGACAAGCCAGGAGAATGGTACACAGTGGGGGTGAGGTGCAACAGCGTCTGGGATGATGTTTTTATGCTGTGTCTGTGGGTCTGCTGGGAAGGGAGAAATGAGAGAGCTGGAAAACATGGCCATTGCATAGAGATGATGCAGTGAAATAGAGAGGACTGGCTTTGGGCCAATTAGAAATAAACATTACACATCAATGCCTGGTTGTTTAAAATCCCATCAGACTTATATGATGATTAGAGTGGCAGTGCTTCTAGAACTTTACCTTTTTCTTCAGAGATTGTTTCTTGCAAAGTGAACTGGGGCCAGTTAAGCATCACTTTGATTCTTCTAGAGACTCCTGGGCTGCTGAAGGAGAAGTGAGTTGGAGCCAGGAATGGGTGACCAGAATCAGAGTAGGCAAGGGGCTGGTATCCCCCTGGCAGGAGAGGGTCCTGTGAAGCTTGGCGTCATGGATTGAATTGTTTTCCCCCCAAAACCTGTGTCAATTGGACTAGACCATGATTTCCAGTATTGTGTCGTTGTCCTCCATTTTGTGATCTAATATAATCGTGCTTCATTTTGTGATGTGTTGTAAATCCTAACCTTTCAACAAGATGGATCTACCGTGGCTGCAACAATGGGTTCAAACACAGCAGTGACTGTGAGGATGGCACAGAACTGGGCAATGTTTTGTTCTGTTGTCCACAGGATTTCTATGAGTCAGAACCAATTCAATGACACCTAATAACAACAACAACATGTGTTAATGAGGCAGTATCAGTGGGGGGTGTAACTTGAGTCACAGCCTTACAAGAGGATGTGACTCAAGTCATACCCTTACTCAAGTCACCCTCTTACTCAACTTGAGTCACCTTTTATCTTATAAAAGGAGAGAGAGGCAAGCAGAAAGGAGAGAGAGATCACTATTACCAAGAAAGAACAGCTAGGAGTGGAGCGTGGGCCTAGGGTCCCTGTGCTGAGAACTTCCTAGACTCAGGAGAAAATTGATGCCAAGACACATGGAGATCTCCAAGGAACCCTGGGCCCACAGATATTGAAAAGAGACAATGACATTCCCTTAGAGCTGACACAGAGAGAAAGCCTTCCCCTAGACCTGGCTCTCTGAATTCAGACTTCTAGCCTCCTAAACTGTGGGAGAATAAATATACGTTTGTTAAAACCACGGACCTATGGAATTTCTCTTTTAGCAGCACTAGAGAAGTAAGATGGTTGGTTAGGAGATGCTAAAGCTCAGATTTTCTCCAAAGAACTGTGTGTCTACTGGCAATAGTGGGTTCTAAATCTAATCATTTCTGAATTATAAAAAGAGCAGATTAGACCCAGAGGCACCCTCACATAGGGAAGACAGACATGTGAGGATTGCCTACAACCCAAGGAACTGCAAGGATTATTGGCAGACACCAAAAACTAGGAGAGAGATTCACAAATGGGATTGACATGGTCCAGATGCTGATTTGGAATTTTAGCCTCCAGAACAGTAAGAAAATAAATTTCTGCTCTTTAAAGCTATCCATGTGTGCTATTGTATTACAGTAGCACTAGAAAACAATGTCCCATATACCCTACTCAGGAAATATGGAAAAAGTAAAGAAATTAAATTCTAAATTGATCTTATTCACAAAAGGAGAATTATTTCATCCAATAGGTATGTGCTGAGCACCCGGTGTGAATTAGATAGGTACAGTCCCTGGCCCTAGAAATCAAAGGGAATACAGGAAGTGATCAGGTGACACAGGACCTAACAGACCATGATAAGGTGTTTGAATTTTAATTAAATACGATAGGAGGCCCCTGAAGATTTAAGGAGGGGGTGATGTGATCTGATTTGCCCTCTTAAAAGACCACCGTGGCTGTTGTGTGGGATATGAGGGAACCAAGATTGGAAGCAGGGTCTGGTAGGTGGCTTTTGCAGTGGTCCAAGGGAGAGAAAATGGTGGCCTGATAGAGAATAGATTCAAGACAGAATTTGGATGTGTGACCCATGTCAAGATGTAAGGAGGGAGGGAAAAGAAGCATCATGGATAAATCTGTAGTTTTTTAATGAGTAACTCAGGGAATGGTAGAGTTATTTTCTGAAAGGGTTAAAAAATGGGGGAGGACCTAGTTTTAGGGGGAATCAGAGGTTGCTTCCATTTTGGACATACTGACTTTGAGATGTCTGTGTGACCCCCAGAAGGGTGAACCTGGGGACTCCGGAACTTGGCAGGGGTAGGGAGAGAAGGGAGGGCTGGTGCAGAAGATATACATTTGGAAGTTGCCAGTATGTAGATGATTTTCAGAGCATGCAGCTCGGATTAAATCATCAAAGGAGATAATGAAGCCAGAGAGAAGAAGAGGAACCAGCACTGAACATCAAGGATTGCTGACATTTTTAGATCAATGCTCTGCAGTGTGTAGCGTGTCTCACCCGGAGGACTTGTTAAAGCAGACAGGGTTTTAATCACATTTCCTTGGATGAGATATGGGAAGACCAGACACAGATCAAGAGAAAGAACTGTGAGAGGTTTTATTAGACTAACAATTCCCTGGGGAGAACACAGTTTGCCTAGCAGGGCCACTTAGGGGGTTACACCCAGAGACCAGGTAACAACAGTAAGCTGGAATTAAGTGTTGGAGCTGGTTTACGTATGGTAAGCAGGGAGAGATTAACTAGGTTCCCCAGGCTTCTTGGGGATTGGGTATTTTTAATAATTCTGCAGGCTACAGGGCATAGGGCTGTCCCTACTTGTTGAGTACCTAGCTCCGTGACAATTAGGGTGGGTGAACAGCGGCCCAGGAGTGTTAGAACCAGATAAGGACTTAGTACACTTAATCAGTTGCTTGAGAAGGGGAGCTGACTGGGTCAGCCTCAAAACTCGGTCAAACAGCATTTGTGAGGTGTTATATTACACTCATACACCACACCAGTTGCTGTCAAGTGGATTCCAATTCATGGTGGCCCCATGTGAGCTTGATAGGGTTTACAATGGCTGATTCTGGGGAAGTAGATTGCTGGGCCTTTCCTCCAAAGTGTTTCTGGGTTGACTTGAACCTCCAACCTTTTAGTTAGCAGCCAAGTGCATTACCATTTTGCACCACCCAGGGACTCCGTATTATACACAGAGTGTTGGGTTCTGATTCAATAGTTCTGGGATGGGCCCAAGAATCTGTATTTCTAACAGGTTCCCAGGTGATGCTGCTGCTGGTCCATAAACCATACTTTAAGGTGGAAGAGGAATAGTCAACAAGGGAGACTGAGAAGTGACAGCCAGTGAGATAGGAGAAACACGAAGAGGAAAATGAGACAGGAAAGTATTTCAAGCAGGCAGGAATCGGCTACTGAGAGGTCAAATGGAGGGACGACAGGAGGGAGTTCACTGGATTTGGGGACATGGAGGTTCTTGGGGACTTGTCGGGAGCAGTTTCAATAGAGTGGCGGGGACAGCAGTAGCTTGAGGAAAGGATGGAAGATGAGAGAGGAGAGACAGCTTGTCTGAGTTTCACCCTGGGCGGAACAGGAGATGGGGCAGTAGCTGGAGAAGAATGTGGGCTCAAGGCACTATTGTGGGCTCAAGGGAGGTTCTTTTCTTAAACTCATAAACTTTTTAAAAAATTGTGGTAAAACATATAAAACATAAAAATTGCCCTTTCAACCATTTTTTATGTGACAATTCAGTGACATTAATTATGTTCACTTCCCATCACCACTATTTATTTCCAAAACACTTCATCACACTAAATAGAAACTCTGTACCCATAAAGCAGTAACTCTCAAGGGAAGTATTTTGATCTCTTTTTCTCTTTTAGGGAGCTCTGGTGGTACGGTGGTTAAAGCATTTGACTGCCAACCAAAAGGTTGGCAGTTTGAACCCATGAGTCACCCCATGGGAGAAAGATGAGGCAGTCTGCTTCTGTAAGGATTTATAACCCTGAAAACCCTATGGGGCAGCTCTACCCTGTTCCATAGGGTCTCTATAGGGATGCCATGAG